CCCCTGTCTTCTAAACCAAGACAATATGAAATAAAAAGTAAGAGGCTCAGTGTGAAGTAAAGTTTTGACAATGAAATAAACGAAAAAAACTGTAAAGATAAAAAGTACCTTTGGGTGTACTTCAGGTATGGTGTATAATCTATGACAGCTGGAAAGCTGCCATCCAGTCTCTCACCCTTCAGACAAAAACTGATAAAACAGAGAAACAATAATAAGATTACAGCAAGAAAATTAAGTTATAGTGATAGTGGAACTTTAGCAGTGCGAAATTTTATTTTTCTTAATTTTTTGATAATAAGAAAGGCCTAGAACATCTAACAGTGAAATACTCAGCCAAGCTAGAGTATTTAATATGAAATGAGAGTCACTGAGCATATTATAGGATTATGAACACCCAAACAAACAGAAATTCCACATAATCAGGGAATAGATAAGGGCAAGTGGTATAAACTCTGATTTTTAACTATTCACTTTTATTCTGAAAACATAGATGGACTGCAAGACAAAAACAGGAAAAGGAAAGCTCGATAAAGCAAGAGAAACAAAAGAGCTATGGATGAGCTTGGAATCTTCAGTATTTAAGCTCATTTAATGTGTTTGCAGAGTGCTTATATAACCATCCCACTAACTTTAAGTAAAAAAAATAATACTACAAATCAGTTCTCAATTTTATTTCAGAATCTTTCTCCTTTCAGATACTTTCTGGTGTTGGGCTGCAAGAAGATGAGGAACACTAATGAAATTAACTTTCAGAAAATGTTCTTAAATGGCTGTAGTGTTTTCTCATCTGCACTGTATTTTTGTACTGGATATAAAAGATTGTATTTGAATTGAGTTTAATTATCAGAAAAGCGACAAAATGAATCATGTTTCCACAAGGTTCATATTCCTCACTTCTATCTCTGTCATTAAAAAATAGATTCTAGTAAAACATAGCTTTTGCTAACTTAATTGCAAAGTGCCATTTTTGACAAGGCACTCACTTAAGTGGTATTTGAGAACTACATCAGAAGTGTATTCTTTTTTTCTCTAAGATAAGCAAAGAAAACAACAAAAAAACCACCCTTGCAAAGCCACAATTATTTTAAGTAGATACATCATTCTACATTACTATGTACGGGAAAAAATTACTTAGGTTCTGTTCTCACTTGGGTTCCTGCACCTCTACCCCAAAGTCTCACTTACAGTTCCGCATAGATAAGCCAGTCAACATTTATAAGAGATTGTTTGAACTGAAAAAGAACTGTCACAAGTATAACATGCAAAGAACGGCTATAGCTTCTTGGCCATTCAGACCACAATACCACAAATTATATGTGGCACAGTAAAAACGCTCCCGTAGCACTATGTTCTTATTTGGCCCACAAAATTTCTAGACTTAAAAGTTGCATTGACAAAACCTTACATGTCTCCAAAAAGAATCAATCATTACTCTGCATACCGTTAACAGATACCTATAAATATGCTTGTATTAGAAGTCGGGGACAAAGAAAGAACAAGCACACTCATACAACTAAGCTCTCATATCAGCAGCGTGCACTGCTGAGGCTTAGGCAAGTCAATTGATTACTTGTGGAAGGATTTACGTACTGCTGATCTGCTCTTGCTATGCTTCTTATTCATGTATAGTTATAGTCCTATTAGCTATAGTGCTACTACAGAAGCAGTTTAATTTCACAGTGTAATACTTAGACTCATAATATCTGGTAAGATTTGAATTTTCAGCACATAAGGCTAGCCCTCTTATCATTCTGTAGCTCACTTCCATTCCCCTAGAACATATGCTGAGGATGCAGTTAAGCCAATCTAGTGCCTGAATGCTGGCAAAAGAAGGTATCCCATGTTTTCAGCCCCTCCCTCCCCATTTTCTTTTTTTAAAATATTTTATATTTTTATTTTTAAGTCCCAACGAGACATTCCTTTCCACTCTTTACAGTGGTATCAGCACTTATCTGACTCCATAAAAAGCTAAGTTCAGCCATCAAGACTTGAAGTTTTAGGGTTTTTTAGCTCTTCAGCATCCAGTCGCAGTTCCACAGGCAGCTGAACTAAGTGCTCACTGCCAACAGATAGGGAAGACATTACTCAATCCTTTTTATTCCTTCTCTTCTCTGAGTCTTATGGTCCCGTCATCTCTGACACTAGTAGGATGCTTCTGTGAACCAAGCCAGCTAACAAAAAACTCCACTATCTTGTCTTCTTACTGGGTATGTTTTTTCACTTTTTTACAAGTTAAGTTTGCTAACAGAAGGGTCCTTCAAGCCTCAAAACTGGTATAAGGGTATGTAAGCAGGAGGAAATCTCTAAAGGCCTTTTGGCAACAAACACTCAGTGCACCCAGTGAGCCTATGCGCTATTTTCTGTCAGTTTCTCTCTTAAACTGGTTTGTGACAAGTATTAATGCTACTGCAGAATAAACAGTAAGACTGACTGCCAGGAGACTGGAGAAAAGCATTATCACTCTCCTTTTCTCTATGTGGTATTACAAAACCCTTCCCCAGTGTGTCTGTATGAGGCTAAGTGGGCCCAAACAGGCATATTAACAGGGCCTTGCATTAGCCAGGTTTGACCTTTATGCCTTGCTGATATTTGAGGGGTTATTTATGTGTATATACACATACACACACATAAAGGTCTATTTTTTTTCTATTATCTGGGGTGTACTTGCACCTTCATTACCCCAAACCACAGAATTAATCATATAACAAAGCACACAAAAGTCTAGAGATTGCAAAAATAAATTCATGTATCTGATGATACTTTGCAGTTCAGCTGCAGTTAGTTGTGACACAGATAAATATTAAACAGTCATTTGTAGGTTAAGCTTTTAAAATATAGAAGTCCTAAGGTTAAAGATACCTACACCTTCTACATATGCAGTTGCAATGTTGTCATTTAGTACCACAGCATAGCTATGTACTTAATCACACAATTTTCCCTA